GGAGCGTATTTATGGCAATATATATATATATATATACACATATAGATATACAGGTATACATATAATACAGGTTTGAAAATACGTGTGTATATATATATATATGTATGTATATGTATATGTATATGTTTCTGTAAATGTATATGTACATGTATATGTATATGTACATTGTGCGTTTTTGTTGTTTTCTCATGGAGGTCAGGAAGTGTGGCAAATACGGTGTTGGTGGCGACGTTTGTGTATGTAATTTGTCACTGTTTCTCGATTTTTCTGGAGCTTGTCGGCTTGCGGTTCGTGCGACACGTGTGGCTCAAATATCAAAGAGGGTTGTCCACAATTCTGAGCAGGAAAAGAACAAGCAGGCGCGAAGGGTGGCAACCGGCCTTGCAACTAGGCAAGCCACCATAGGAATCATAGGACCAAACGCCCCCAAAACCGTCACCGCAACTGTAGCCCAAACTCGTAAACCGCAAAAGCCTAAACGCGAGACTCGTCTAGCCCCGAACACTAACTCAGATTAACAGCCTAAACCCAAGACTCTCATGCCCAAACACGATAAACCCCAAAACCCTCAAGCCTTGAACCCAAGCCTGTGACCCGACAGCCTAAAACCCTGAACCCGAAACCAAACCCAGACTTGAACCCTGAATGCCGAAACACTGAAACCCCAAGGCTCTAAATATAGAAGGACCGTTCCGATGGAGGCGGCCCAGACAAGCCTTTTGAAAAAAAAGGTAAAAGACAGGCTTTTCTACAAGGTGAAATAAAGCTGGAACCAGGTGAAACAAAAAAAATAAACGTCAGAAGAAGGTGGGAAAAGGGTGAAGACCAGGCACAGGCCACGTCACTCGGATTGTCCTGCACTCCCACGCCTGCCCACCAGCCGGGCTGGCGTGCTCGCATCCCTATCATTTTGCATTACAAAACGCGAAAAAAAGGTGCAAAAAAGGCGTTAAACAGGTAAAAAAATGCAAAAAGGTATGAATAAAATAAAAAAGGTGTCAAGAAGGTGAAAAAAGCAAAACAAGGGTTAAAGGCCACGCAAAGGACGGGTGTGTGGGAAATCCCAGATCACCTGGCCTGCGCGTGGCATTTACCTTTTTTTGCCTTTTTTGCACCTTTGTAAATCTGTTTGTACCTTGTTTTACCAATTTTACACCTTTTCTACGCCCTTTATTACAGGAAAACGATAGGGACGTGCGCCCGCCAGCCCCCCGGCTGGTGGGCGGGCGTGGGAGTGCAGGAAAATCCGGTCCACGTGGCCTGTGCCTGGTCTTCACCTTTTTCCCACCATTTGTTTACCTTTTCTGTACCTTTTTGTTTCACCTGGTTCCAGCTTTATTTCACTTTGTTTACCTTCTTGTCTACCTTGTCTTCACCTTACAACCTCACCTTTATTTTATCTTTCATTTATGTTTATGTTACCTTTTATTCAAACTGACATCTGCCTTTGTCTCCATGGATCGGACCTTGGAACTCTAAACCAAACCCAAGACCCCAAAAACTAAACGTTAACAAGGCCAGAACCCAAATCCTGAACCCAAGACTCTAACCCGAAACCCTCATGGCCCGAACTCACTCACTCACTCACTCACTCGCGTTGCGGTCCGTAAGGTCCGGAGCGGCTAAAAGGAAGTGGAAGAGGCCCAAAAGCGATGCGCTATGCATCGCGGCCGAGCATGCAAGGTGAAACAGAACCAACCGAAAACCGAACCAACAACCGAAAAAAAAACCAAACCCAAAGCCGAACGGAGAACCCAGCCCCGAAACCAAAACCCCACAAAGGCAACGGCGAGCCCCGAGGAACCCGAGGGAAGCCCAAAACCGAAAACCCGACCAACCCAAAGCCAACAACGGAAGCCCAGCACAGCTGGGGTCG